TATATTCATGTTCGTATCTGTTTGTAATGGAAACAGTCGCAAGTAAATATATAAAATACTCACTATTCCAAGTAGTTTCTGAGTTGCATAAGCGTGATCTTATGTTTGAAACCAACCGGCGTTGACAAAATATGATTTTATTCGCAAAGTGTGTTTATCTGTACATGCCAGTTCCCCTTCAGTCGAAAGGATTTGACTCACCATTTGAATGATTTGAACGTTTCACACACCTTTGCCGATCAGTACACCTGTCATCTGTTTGTCAAGTCATTTGGTCTGAAGTGGGCTGTAGATCTAGTCGAAAACTGATCCCCTTCTGCGACATCGATTGTTGCATGTTTTATGGCCACGTTTTTTTTTTACCTAGAATGGATGCGTTTCCCATGACCACGCGTTTGTTCGAATTTGTACAACTACGTGTATTTATACCACTTCCGCCGTGGAATATCACTCTTACAGTTCTTTGTACATGATATACCGCAGAGTTACACCACCTTGCTTTCAGCGGTCGAAGGGTGGGGGAAGCCTAGTTAAGCAGACCATGACTCCGCAATATTTGGGCACGTTCATGTATAATAGCGTCATACTGTAGACTTGCAAATATACGTTTGCTTGCCATAAACTGAACTGATTCTTGCTCTTAGGCATTATAAAACGATCATTAGTTTGAATTTTATTACAGTCTCGTGCATTTAGGCTAAGATAAACATTTAAAATGGATCATATGTAAAGTAATTTCAGTGCTAAATAACTATTTTGTTTTGATTTTGTATTGTTGGTTATTCTGTAATTGTGTTCGTTTTAGCTGGCTTGTTGCTTTGGTAGCGCTGCATGTGGGCTGTGTTGCAATGCGTGCCCCATGTGCAAAAGCAGCACGAGCACGCGGCTGATGTACGCGTTGATAATGTTCTTCGGGACACTGGTTTCGTGCCTGATGCTGGTACCGTCGATCCAGGAAAAACTGGCCAAGGTAAGTTGCCAAAGAACCTTGCTAATCAGCCAGATCGATCGCATGCATTCGAAAAGTTACATTTAGAGCAACTGGTTCTGCAAGGCAACGTTGAACATCGAATGCGAACGGGCGACGGGCTATCAAGCCGTATACAGGATGTGTTTCGCCATGGCTGCGTTCTTCTTGCTCTTCGCCATACTCATGATCAACGTAAAGTCGTCAAAGGATATTCGAGCAAAGATTCATAACGGGTAGGCGATTGATAGTCGGTGGCAAGGTGTTCGTTCAACATAATGTCGCTGTTCTTAGATTTTGGTTTTTCAAGTACATTTCTTTGATTGCTCTGGCAGTGGGGGCGTTTTACATTCCGTACGGAGACTTCTCTGTTGGTAAATATTTATCGTCTGTTTGTGTACGGTGATGAAAGTTTGCCCTTATGCATTTCCTGTCGCATGCTGACTGTTTGACGCTCGAATCGACATCGATCAATGAACTGATGAGCAGGATCTCAGTTTGCGTTGCATTTTTTTCATTCTGCCCCGTATTTCGTTTGTGCCACTTCGGAAACAGTGCTAGTCAACAAATCATCGGCATTACCTAGGTTGAGAGGTTACATTCGTTTTCAACGCCGTATAAAACGGTGTACTTTTCGACTTGTCGAAAATGATTCACAATCACATTTCAATAGGTTGCTAGGATCCGTCATCACTGAGGACAAAAGTTAAACGGAAATTTCTCGATTTCGTTTCTGACTACCAGGTGACACTTTAAAACGTTGTTTCAACCCGGTTATTTACAAGTTTCGCTTTCGTATCCGCTGAAGATAATATCTTTTTCTCTGGTTGTTTCTACCACAAGATCTTCTCATGGTACTCCATTTCTTGCAGCGTAGCGTGCCAGCAGCAAGGTACTGATCGATTGACAGCTCTGCACCTCTCTTAAGGCGAACATCCATTACAGAGCGTGGTAGGAGAAGATACGGTTATCAAATCGATCATCGACTTTTTATTCACAGCTTCCCTGTACCATGTATACTGATATATGCTTCGATGCTCAATAAAGGTGTTCATGATAGACAGTCCTTTTTTGCACAAAACCGCAACAACTTCATGCCTTTATTGTTGAGGTCAATAGGGCCGTTCTTTCGAGTCACGCCGTTTCGTCTTTCAGTGTGCGCATTAAAATCGCCCATTAGGATGAGGGTATGGTAGTCGCCACTTTGACAGAATACCCCCTACGTCATCCAAGAAGAACTCGCATTCTCCTTCTGAATTCAATGCATGGACATGTATGAACGCTCTGTTTCGCATCTTGCAACCTCACACCTCGAACAACTGCTACCCTTTTGTTGACAGGTAACTTTCACTGACTGTCAAATAGGTTGGGCTTTACCAGAATACCAACACGGGCCTGAGCGCTGGTCGTAGTCGACACCGCACTGGAATGGCCTCCACCGCAGTGATTCAGAGTTCCATTGCCCTGGCGCTTCTTTTACGAGGATCTAACTGTCGCGTTGAAACCTTGCCATATCATCTGGTAGCTCCCGTCCTTTCCCCCTGGGTGAGGAGATGAGCCAGTTTCTGACTGTAAGCTCCCACTGTCGTTATGGTTCCATTGGAGCTTGATCTAACGTACTATAATGGCATCACGCTTTCTAGGTCCTCCGTTCAAAACGGGTAGCGCCTTGAGGGGCGATGTGCTAAGCAGGGACATGCGATAGTGCAGTTCAGTGAATGGACTTCTTTGGACATATATTTCAACGATCTTAGACGAATGACTTAGTTAACGTGCGTCTGATTACCCCGGTGGGAGAGGCCGACGTTCTAGCGGTTACCAAATTTTTTTTCTTTACTGAATTGTTAGTCAGTGTCTCTTCTGCACAAATTACTGCCTCACTTTTAGCCTAGCCCCTCAGTTCATGCAAGACATTCTTCTCTCTTGTTGTCCATATTCTTTTATGCTTTCATTTACACCATTACGTGACGATGCCTGTCGTTACACCGATTTTACCTCAACGTGTCACAATGCCCTCGCTTCTGAACGCTTAGGAAGTTCATTAATGCAGGTGACGGCTCAGTGGCATTTGAGCACCGGCAGTGCAACGATGTAACGCATTATCCCTGAGTAGGGTACGAACTAGGCACGTTGGCACGCATGCTCGAGGTTGTGACTCAAACGAAGTACATGCTCGACACGCCACTGAGTAGAGTCGGACAACGCACGTCAACTCCAAGTGGTTGCTCAAGCGCGCATGCTCGTAGCACCATTGAGTTTGTTTTTCAACCCGCGATGTTCTTGTTATTTTTCACATTTTGCTTTACACCGACTACTGTTGGTTTGCACCAGTACTGTCTCAAATTTTCTAATGTTTCGTTGCGCATATCCTTGTTCAGAACATATTTCATATGTCCTGCGTGCGTCTCCAGGAGCTTTTTACGGTCTGTTAAATCGACGGAGTTAATTAGATACTGGACTAGATGTCATATCTCTTTGTTATAGTATTTCTTTGCTGCAGCGAAGCTATTTGTTTGGTTTTCATCGACGTAGATCACATTTTAGCCTGGATGTACATCGGAATGCTCGGTGGATTTCTCTTCATCCTTGTTCAGCTGATATTAATAATCGATTTTGTGTACGCATGGGCCGAAGGGTGGATGCAGAAATACGAAGAAACAGATAATCGATCGTGGTTCGCCGGTACAAATGTGTTCTGCTTATTATTTAGTGTTGCGTCGTATTATGTCAATTACGATCGTTGCTTTCAGCATTAATCTTCTTCACTTTGTTTCTCTACGCGGTTTCGATTGCGGCAGTTGTACTTTTCTACATCTACTACGCAGGGGTACACCAAAGGGCTTCACATAACCATGTTCAGTGAATAGCCAATATATTGTTATTCGTTTTAGTACCCGGAGTGTCAGTTGAACAAGGTATTCATCAGCATCAACCTCGTCGCCTGCGTCGTCGTTTCCGTGCTTTCAGTGCTGCCAAAAGTGCAGGAGTTTCGGCCACGATCGGGCTTGTTGCAGTCCAGTCTGATCACACTGTATACCCTTTTCCTGACATGGTCGGCGATGGCTAACGAACCAAGTAACGGTTTTTGTGTGACATTGTCTGTGAATGCTAATCGACGTCGCGTCGCTACGCATGAGGTAATCATTATTTGCTTCCTTGCTAGTTCCTACAGTTAAGTATAGAGTTCCTACGGTACTGTCCATTCAATATTCAGCGGACCAATAAATGCGAATTGCGTAACACCTGGTTACGGTTAATTCGAAATTGGTAACTTACGAAAAATTCTAACTGCCTTTCACTAGTAAGTCATCATTATCTTTCATCGCCGCTGTTCCTTTCGGGTCCCGGAGGCAGACACGTCAGATAGAGCTTCCAACGTTCCCGATCCTCTGCCAGAGTCTGAGCTTCGCCAAAACACAAATTGAGTCTGGAAGAGACTCCTTCCATATATTTGCACCAGGTTGATCTTGGCCGTTCTCTGGGCCTTCTGCCGCTCGGATTTGCAAGGAACAGTTGCTTGGCCTTCCTTTTTGGAGGCATTCGCAACACATGCCCAAGCCATCGCTGCTGTGACTTCTCATTCTGGAGAAGCGAAGGCTGTGCACCAAGGCTCTTACGAATCTCACTATTCCGGACCATATCGATACGAGTAAGGCCAGCGACTCGTCTAAGAAAGACTATTTCAGCAGCTAGTACCCGGGTTCGAAGTTTTCAGTGATGGTCTACAATTCATGACCGTAGGTAAGTATGGGGATAAAGATCGACTTGAATATCGAGAGCGTAGTTTTCAGACTCAGCTCTGCTTTAGTCACAGTGGGTCGGGCTAGTTCACGCAGAACGATACTGGCTACTCCAATTCGCTGGTCGATCTCTTCCTCCAATTTTCCATCACTAGTAAATACAATTCCGAGGTACTTGAACTTTTCCTCCTGCTCCACTGCCTCTACGTTAATCGTTTGGCCTTTCTTAAACAGCTGCCACTCGGTTTCAACATCAGTTGTCATCGCTGGGATTTGTTCAAACCGTCGTGCGAT